CTTTGCAAATTGATTTCTTCTAATCCCAATTTTGGTTAATAATACAAACTTCCATCTTCCAGATGCTTAATCCAGAAATCTGAGAATCATTTGAAAAGTCTTCCCTTTTCTTTACTTCATGTTTAGTCACTAAAATCTCTCCTGAAATGCCTCTTGAAACAAACCTCTCATCAAAGCCTTAGTTCAAAGCCTCATTGTCTCCAGCCTGACCAGCTGTAATGCATGCTAATTACATACAACACGCAAATACACATCCACGCTAGACTCAACTGTTTCCCCAGCACCATTTCACACAACATTTCACTACCTAAACCAAGTCCGCTCGCGTCACTAAGAAGATAAAAGTCCATACCCATTGGGTCTTCAGACAGAGTTCCTGGCTCTGTCTGCTGGGATGGCCACCGATCTCTTTTTTCACATTTGTTGTGCGCCAGCTAGGTGCAAGACACTGTTTTAGGCGTTGAGAAGACAGCAGGAAATGAAATAGACAAAAATCTTTCTATTCAGTGAAGTAGAAGTATCTCACAGGGTCAGCCAATGAACAGCCTAAGTAGTATGTTACATGTGAAACATGCAAAGAAAAAGCAAGAAAGAAAACAGTACTGAGTGGAGTTGAGAGGTTTCTCTTACAAAAAGGAGTGGTCAGAGAAGGCCTCCCCGACTGAGCTGGGCACACTTAAGTGGAGATCTAAAGGCGACAAAGGAGCGAGCCGTTCACTGGGGCACGGGCGTTGGAGATGGACGCGCACGTGGTTTCTTGCAGGAACTTTAGAGGACACCACTGTGGCTGTGGAGGGTGCCCAGGGGGTAGGAGAAGGCTCGGGAAGATGTTGGGGGCAGATTATGTGTGGCCACAGGCCACATAGTTCACAGGGGACAGGATGACTCCTACCCTGCAAAGACTACACTCACCGAGGAAATGACTCTCATCAGATTCACAGAATGGGTGCATCAAGAGCTTTGCTTCATTTTGTGAATGAGGAAAGAGCCCAGCAAGGTTAAGTCAACCAACCAGGCAGCAGCTGAGTCAGAACTAGGATACAAGTGGCTCCATCTCCACAGTCATGCTCTTTCCAGTCCCATGCCGGCTTGAATTAAGAGAGTGATAAAAGCAATGCAGAGTAAGTTTCTAATTTGTATAACATGGACTATATGGCAGGACTGAGAGGGGCAGAGGCAATTGCAGATGAGGAGTCCAGGAAGGCTTTGGATGGAGATGGAGCTTGAACTAGACCTTGAAGGTGAGGCAAAATGTGAGAAAGAGTCTGAGTCAGGGGCGGGGACTGGAGAACAGCTTGGGGAAGGCTCTGAGGTTGAGCGAGCCCCACGGCTGAGTGTGGAGAGGTCACAGCTGGTGAGAATCTGAGGGCTGCGTGGCTGGTTTGTGGCTGCCATGGTGGAGAAGCTGAGCCAGCCAACCTCAACACCAGCCTCCCTTCCCCCCCTACCCCACACACCAGGACACAGTGGATTTTCTGCACTGGCTCATGGAGAGTGATCCCCAGGGCCTGTGTCAGATCCATGTGGACGGGAGCAATGGGCACCAGCAGCTGTGGCATCACGGTGGGCAGAGCAGGAGCAGGGGCCCGGGACTGAGCCTGATATCCCGGGAAGGGCTGACCCCCAGGGGCTCCCCTCTCTTCTCTTCTTCCTTTCCTGTCTCTTGCTCCTGACAGCATGCCTCCTGGACTATTTCTGTGATGAGGTAAAAATGAACAGGGTGAGAGAGAAAAAGGGGCTGAGGGGCTGAGCACCTGCTGTGGTCTCCCAGAGTCCTTCCGCTGCCCTCCCCAAGGGCTGGAGACCTGCCCTCAAGCCCCTCTGCCTCTACACTCTTCCCCAGTGTCTCAGGAGACTCTCAGGAGGGGGCCTCCCGGTCTGCGGGGTTCTTTCCATCCCCATGTTCCTTTTCCCATAGTCTCCTCGGAACTGGGCCTTTCAAGATTGTGCATGACATTCACCTTCTTTCTCATTCTCTTGTAGTCGCCTTCTCTCTCTTTTTCCTCCTCCAGGAAGCCAACGCCTGGCTGAGGCACTGGTGGCCGAGGAGGAGGTCATGAAACAGGAGACAGAAAGACACAAGAAAAAGGAGGCTACAGGGCAGAAAGAGGGGGATCGCACAGGGACTTGGGAAGAGAGCCCAAGGTGGCCTGCAGAGGGTCCTCTCACAGGAGGCGCCAGGGGCTGGAGACCAGAGGGTCTCCAGAGGCCATCTGGTGTGATGCTTCAGGAATCCCACAGTACTGCCTGGGGTCGACGCTCCCTCCCTCTCCTTGAGAAACCTCCAACTTGTGACTCTCTTATCTGCTTTTTCACTGTAAAATGAGGATAATAGCAATACTTTCGTCATGGAGTTGCAAAGATTCAATGAGATAGTGTGCACAGAGCTCTTAGTCCAGACAGGACACTGGATTTGTGCTCAAAATAGATCATTATCATTACTGCAGCATCAAAAGGAATGAAACTGACAGGAGTGCCTGGAGGGCAGTGGTGAGCCTAACGTGCAGAGTTCAGGCAGGTACCAAGAGCACCAGGTGCTGGCAAAGTGGGGCTGGGAAGGCAGGCGGCTCAAGGTGGTCCCAACTCTGTGCCTATCCACACTCTCGCCAGGCCAAGGTGACCCCAGATGAAGAAGTGAGTCCCCCATCCAGTCCCAGGATTCCTCTCAGGGACAGTGTGGTGAGAAAGAGGTTCCCTTCCTGGTCTCTGCCTACTCCTCCTCTTCCTCCCTCTCATCCTCCAGGTTAGACTTCAACCCTCCCCTGACCCCCACAGGACCCACTGGATCTATCTAGCACTTTTCTGCCCCTGGCTTTGTACAAGGCTGTGGATTGGCACCCCAGTGCCCACAGAGCAAAGGACTGAACCAGGTATCCCAATATAGGGGCCAGGGCACCCAAGAGAAGCTGAGCGAAGAGGAAGGGAGCCCTCCAAGAGAGGAGAGGCCCAAGCAGAGTTCTAAGGCCTAGGTGAGATGGGAAGAAGGTTCAGCTAGAACTGGTAGAAGGGGTACCAGAAGGCCCTGGGGAGGCACATGATTGAAGTGTCCTGGCAGGTGTCCCTTAGGAATTCTGTGACCATGAGGTTGAGAGACATGGGGTCAGGGCAGGCATTTGGCATTGCAGGTAAGATACTGCTTGGGACTCAATTGGAGTACCTGGTTCGAGTCCCACACTTCTGCTTCCAATTCCAGCTTCCTCCTATGCACTCCCTCTCCCTCTCTCTGTGTCTGTAACTATGTATCTCAAGTAAATAAAGATTTATTTTATATTTTATTTGAAAGAGTTACAGAGAGAGGTGGAGACACAGAGAGAGGTCTTCCATCTGCTGGCTCACTCCCCAAATGGCCACAATGGCTGCAGCTGAGCTGATCCAAAGCCAGGAGCCAGGAGCTTCTTCCAGGTCTCCTACATGGATACAGGGGCTCAAGCACTTGGGCCATCTTCTGCTTTTCCAGGCACATTAGCAGAGTGGTGGAACAGAAGTGGAGCAGCTGGAACTCAAACCAGTGCCCATATGGGCTGCTGGTGCTGCAGGCTGGGGCTTTAACCTGCTGTGCCACAACACCAACCCCAAATAAATAAATCTTTTTAAAAAATTAAGGAAAAGAAAAAAAAATCCAGTTTTTATATGCTCCTGTCCCTCATGCTCATGATTCCCTCAGTGGGAAGAGAGGACTGTGAGTGAGTTGCTGCTTCAATTCACAAACTCCAGAGTTCCTGGGCCTAGCAGTTAATATGCCTGCATGCTACATCAGGGTGCCTGCGTTTGGTTCCCAGCTTCAGCTCCTGATTCCACCTTCCTGCAAATGTGACTCTGGAAGGCTGCTGTGTTGGCTCGAGTAACTGTGGGAGATGCGGATTGCATTCCTGGCTCTTGGCTCTGATTCTGGCCCAGCTCCAGCTGTTGCAGACATTTAGAGTGAACCAGCAAATGGGAGCATGTGCTTGCTCTCGCTCTCTCTCTCCCTATACACACACACACACACACACACACACATCTGCATGTATTTTATATATATATATGGCTCTCAAATAAGTTTTTGAATAATGAGAATTTAAAAATCTGTCTCAATTAGTTCACACTTCGACACACTTGGAACTTCTCAGAAGTGGTAGTTATTTGTGTGAAAATGTCAGGCTCCCATCTGCCTGCCAGCCTTGTTTGCCCCCTCTCGTGCAGCCAAAGCCCTCCTCATGCCTCTGAGCATATGGGCCGCTGCACCTGGGCAGAGGCAGGGAAGGGCTGGGGCTGGCAGCAAGGACTGACAGGAGAGAAGGGAAGCAGGAAAGCGCCTAGGCAGGGTCCCCTGCAGACTGGCTGGGACCCCAGGGTGGGGAAGGCTGTCGTATGGAGTGTTCCCCTCCCCTCCCCATCACATCCACAGCTTAACTTAGTGTTCCCAGCAGGCGAGCCCAGCTCCTCCAGGCCTGCCTCAGTGGGTCAACCCTTCTCGCCCGCCTGTGGCAGCGACTGTCCTGGTGGTAATGTCTCTGGCACAGGCACTGGGGTGAGGTCCAAGAGCTGAGGTGCGCCCACTCTCCAGGCGCCCACCATGCTGTCTGTGTCCAGCATAAGGTTACTTCTGCAGGAGTGGAAGAGGGGTCAGGACCCAGGTAACAAAGAGAGAGAGGACAGAGGAGAGAGTCAGCCTGCAGGGTGGAAGGGAGGTCTCCCAAGCCCTCTGAGCCAGAAGCTGGGCGGAGTCCTGTGACCAAAGGGGGCCACTGCCAGAATCCCACCCCCTTCCTCTCACCCACGTGTCTCCTGAATAGGATGTCAACACTAGCTCAGAAGGCCGGCTGGGTATTGTGGCCCAAATCCTGATCGCTGGGCTCTTCCGTACAAATGGACGTAATTTTACTACCTGCCCTATAGGGTTGCTGTGCGGATGAAAGGAAACGTCTTAGTTAAAGCACCCAGCACAGTGCCAAGGGCCGGCTCTCTGCTATAACCCGCGGATTTTACTGTTAGTGGCTCCTAGCGTCCAGATGGAGGCATTGTGCAGCAGAGTCTCCACTTTATTCTCAACAATTTGGGAAAAGTGGGCGTCTGGACCGGGCTGGAAGAGACCCGGGTGGACGTCCTCCCTCCATCCCAGAACCTGGACAAGGCGCGGAGTGCGAAGGTGAGGAGTCCCGGGCCCCAGAGTCCAGGGCAGGCCAGGCAGTGGCTTTGCCTTTAATCATCCACCTGGATCTCTTCCTCGGACAGGTGGGGCCCGGAGTCGGGCCTGGAGTCAGGCCCAGCGGCGCCAGGGCCGGGAGCGCCGTCCGTCAGTGCTAGGCAGCACAGGACTTCCGGCGACAAGGCGCGGAGGGAGGCCACGTCGGCGCGCATCTCCTCCACGTCGCGCTTCAGCTTGGCACGCCGGTTCTGGAACCAAGTGACGACCTGCGCGTTGGCCAGGCCGAGGCGCGCAGCCAGCCCGTCGCGTTCTGACGGTGCCAAGTACTTCTGGAAGACAAAGCGCCGCTCCAACTCCAGCACCTGCTGCGTGGTGAACGCCGTGCGTGACTTGCGCCGTTTTCGGCCGGCGAGCCGAGGTCCCAGTGCATCCGGGGCGGCCCTGCCTGTAGGAACGGAGGGGGACCGGGATCAGCCAGTATCGGGGCTGCTGGAATCCAGCTGGGGCGGGGCGGGGGTGCGGTCAGGCGCGCGAGGTGGGGAGCCAAGACGGATGGAGACCGGAACGCTGGTCCTTTCCCGCAGCCCACGGGGGTCAGGCCGAGGTGGAGGAAAAGGGCGCAAAACGAGCGGGCCACCGGGGTACCGGAGGCAGCAGATTTCGGGGGGTGTGGCCGGAGCTAGGCAGTGGGGCAAGCGAACTGGAGACCTGGTTCAGGGTCAGGCCTTTTGGGGCGGAGCCTTTGAGGCCTTCCAGAGCCCCAGGCTGGACAGACTTGCAGACTGGGATGGCTTCAGAGACGGGTGAGAGCAGGGACAGCCGACCTGGCATGGTGAAGGTACCAGGGTCAGGGATCGTCCCTTTTCTTAGACATCCGGGTCGTGTCGTGCACTTGGTGGTTGACACTGCCTTAGCGACGCCAGAGCCCTCTCAAGCCGGACAGGGAGATATTTGGGGTACAGAGAGATAGGAAAGGGGAGTGCGGAGACCGCGCCGAGGACCGGCGGCTGCTCACGCCCTGGAGAAGAGAGTGGCTTGGAGCAGAGCTTGGTCGCAGCCAGAGACCAGAGCCTCGGCTCTCGCGGCGCCGCCCTTACCCCCGGCTCACTCGTTTACCGCCGGCGGCTTGAGCCTTTTGTCTTCTCTCGGGCCTTTCAGTGTCGCGATTGCCCCGCCTACAGCGAACCGACCAAAGGGTCCCTGAATTCTCGCCAGCCCTGCCCATCCCTGTGGCGCTACCTGCCTCCTGGAGCCGCCGCGAAGCCACTGCAGTAACGGGAGAGAGGTGAGGAGCGGGAGATTCGAGTCCTGGCACGTGGCCGTGGCCAGGGGACGGATTAGGGTGATCGGACCGGGGTGAGACCAAGGTCGGACCCGGAACCAGGAGGAGAGAAGTGGGGGAGATGGCCAAGTGAGAATCCGCGCCCTGGCCGGTGCTGTACCTTCGAGGGGCTGCGGGGCGCGCCCGTCAAGTCCGCGGAAAGTTTTACTAGTCAGCTCCTCCAGCGCGCACAGCGGCGACGCGGGACCGGGGCCTGACTCTGGAAGCTGCGCCACGGAAGGTGCACGGGGGACCAGTCGCGGGCCTAGGATGTCTGCGATGCTGAAGGGTGTCCGGGGCTGGCGTCCCGAGTTCATGGCTGACTGGTCTGTGGAAGTCCCGCAGTCTGCTGCGCTCGGCTCCGCAGCCGCCTGGGCCCCGGCGCTGGGTTCCCGATCCCGGCCCCCCGCTTCGGACCCGCCCCCGGCGCTGGGCCCGAGCCCCGTGTGCCCCTCCTCCTGCGCCCCCCACCTTCCTATCCAGGGCGCAGTGGGTCCGAAGCGCGTAAATGTCACAGCGGCGGTATATATAGGGTGAAGACGCGCGGAGAGAAGCCGGTGCAACTACCCACTGGACCCGGGCCGCCCGGCTGGTCCGCGCTGCAAGACACCGCCCCAGGCACGCTGAAGCCGAACTCGTCCCCTCCAGACTGAGTGCCTGAGACCCCCTGCCTAGCTGCCGCTCTGGATCATAAACTCAACAGCTATGAAATTGCTTTCCTTGGCCCCAGTGCTGGCGATTTGCAAAGTTCCCAGTAGTATCTGGGTTGATTGTACTAGGATCCCTGGTCCCATTTAGGAAGGACATCAGTCTCCCAACCTGGCCCTCTGAGCCTGGAAACCCCTTGCAAAATGCTCCCAAGGTTGCCCAGGCACCTGGAAGTGATTAACACACCAAAGAGGTCCCCAGCGTGGGACTCGGTGGAGCGTGGGGATGCCACAGGAAGCAAGTACAGGTGAGCCAATCTGCCCTGCTATGGCTTAAGAGCCCCCCCCCCCCAAGTTAAAACTGGAGAAGCTTCTGGAGCCCTGGGTCAGAGGAGAAGACAGCCCTCGGAGCTAGCCGAGGCTGCTGTCCGGGATGTGTCTGCCACTGAAGCCCTCCCGCCCTCTTTATTGGTCTGTCACTTGATCCTTGTCTTTTTATTGCACTCCTATAGTTCATGTATGGTTTCTTGACCCTGTGGAGGCTCAGAAACAGCCAAGAGGAACAAGAGGCTGGGCCAGCGTGGAGCCAATCCCCATAAAAGACGACTTGAAAGGCAGACTTCTTGGACGCTGCCAGACCATGGGACAGATACCCCTGCCAGCCCAGACACAAACTCATTCCTGTTTGATCACTGTCCTGTCTTCCTTCTCTCCCACACCTATTCTGGTCCTGGGCTCAAGTGGGGTGAGCTACCCCCACAGCTCTGGGATAGCAAGGCCCTGCAAGGGGAGGCCCAGCAAAACATGAAGTTTTTTCTGTTGATTCTTATTCTGTTCTGTTAATTTTTATTTGTTTTCATTTTATTGGAAAGGCAGAGAGACAGATCTTTTATCCACTGATTCACTCCCTCAAATGCCTGCAACAGCCAGGGCTGTGCCAATCCAAAGCCTGGAGCCTAGAACTCAATCCAGGTCCCCCATGTGACAGGCAGGGGGCCCAGGCACTTGGGCCATTACCTGCTGCCTCTTTGCCTTGGATCCAGCAGTAGCAAGAAGTTGGATTTGCAGTGGAGTAGCCCAGACTTGAACCAAGCACTCTGATGTGGGTGTCCCAGATGGTGACTTAACCAAATGCACGCCCCAAGGCATGGGTTTTGTTTCTAAATCCCACCTTAAATAGCTGGAGGATTCTCAGTCTGGAGAGAGAAGCCTTACGTTCCTGAGGAACCGGCTGCTCCACGGCCTGGCAGTCAGAAACCAATATGCCTCTAGTATTTTGGATGAGAGCCATGAAGACTTCAGCAGGGCCTCCTGGCCAGTGCATTATGCCACCTTCCCTGTTGACTTCTGCATCTCCCACCATTTGTACCGGGTTTCTCTGGGCCCACCTGACTATTACCTGGGATAAGTGGAGCCTGTTGTTGGGGCACCCTGAACAGGGCTTAGGAGACCCAAGACATCTGACAAGCACCTTGGTAGGGGGGGTCTTTTAGGCAAAGGTCTCCCAGCAACAGCCCCCCTCTTCCCCCAGACTGCTGCACGGTGTGGTCTGAGCAACACACCCAAGGCTGATGGGCCACTGCTGGGTCAGAGAGCAGAGCCAGGCCACAGTGGAAAACCGAGCTGCCTCAGAACCCTGTTAATTGGTTCTTAATGGTGGGGGGCAGGGAAGGGCCCTGGGAGAGATCCTCCCAGCTGCAGGCCTCAGCCCCTCAGAACCATCCTTGCGGTTTCACTTAATCTGCAATTAGAGTGGCTCTCAGAGGCAGCAGGAACTGCCCCACCAAACCCCAGCCATGTCACCGCGCAGACACTGTGACCTCCACTCTTGCCTCCTCTGTGTGGCTTTTATGTCCTCTCCACCTCTGCTCTCAATTATGTGTATGTGAGGCGTGTGGGGCCCTCTTCCATTTCTCCCTCCTCCAGCTCCCCATGCTGAGGGGAGGGGGAGCCAGGTAATGGCACTGGATGGCCCCCAGACTGAAGTTGGGGGAGGAGAGTTAAGCGAGGATGGCCCAACCAGAGAGGCCCGAGTAAGGGCGTCCCAGCAGGCCAGGGACTGGTTGAGACTATCCTGGGGGCCACAGAAGGGGGCTTTTTCCAGCGAAGCATCTGGAACCCGAGCTGGGGCGAAACCGGATCCGCCGAGTTGGGCAGGAGGAGGGTGAGTGATTAATGACAGAGATTAAGAGATTAAACCTCTGTTCTGGACCCGGGATGGCGGAAGGGGTGGGGGGGCAATGGGGGCCGCTCAGCTGTCTCGAAGACTTCCCTCACGTCGGCCTGGGTGCTCGGCTGCTCCCGGGACTCCGTGGTCGCACACACCTCCTCAGGTGGCACTCCCCACGCCGGTGTTTAGCGCTCCCGGCAGTGGATCCTTGCTGACACGCGCCTTCCCTGCAACCGCACGGGCCCGCAGTTTTCCTTCCCTGTGATTCTCAGGCAAGTTCTCAGGTCGGCTTCCTCGGATCTCCCTCACTGTCCCTGCGGAGTGTGGGGTCCAGCACTGCCTCTCCAAGTGGACACCCCCACACTCCGACCCTCACTCCCGCAGGAAGGCACCTAATCCCATTTGCGGCTGCTTCGCGCCTCCTCTCATCACCCCCTCCAGGTTTCTCGTTCCCTCCCGCCAGCCCCACTCCCACCTTCTCGACTTCCCGGCTCCCTCCTGCCCCGCAACTCCCTTCCCCCAGGCCTGCTCGATACCCCCTCCCCCACTGTGGCACAGGGGGCCTCTCGGCGAACCACTATCGACCATCACGACCATCGCGCGCCTTCCCCTCCATTCTTCGAGTCAGAGAATCCTCAGGGTAACCAACCCCCGAGGGAGGTGGACCCTTAGAAGTTTTCGGGTCCGTCCAGTGCCTCCCCTTCGGGAGAGAAAGAAGTGGGAGTGTAGGGAAGACTCAGGTGGAGGGCGTGAGGAGGGTTGCACTCCTGGATGCTTTTCTCTTTCGACACACGGTCACCTACGTCAATTTTAGCTTTACGACGACTTTTCAAGGTGGCGGGTCTGTGAGTTCTTGGCCCTGTGTGCCCACCACCATCCCGGAACGGTGCGGGCTGGGGTTGGGAGAGCGGCTGCATGCCGTTGGGAGAGACCGCTGCCTTCGCTGTTGTAGGGCAGTCTGTCCCCACAAGCCCTTTGAGACGCGCGGCTGAGCTGAGGGACCCGTCCTCCTCCGTGCCGAAAGTAGGGAGGGGTCTCGATGTCCCTCCCTCCCTGGTTGAGTGGGAGCCACGGAAATTTCACGAGTGAGAAAGGCAGGGGCGAAGGGGTTTTCATCCTGGAGGGGATGCCCGATGTCTCCTCCGTGAAGCACCCCGGGCTGTCTCTAGACTCCGGAGCTGGGCTGTCTCTAGACTCCAGAGCTGCGCACCAGGCGGGTGCGACCTAGGGCATGCTTGTGGCACATTGGGTTAAGCCGCAGCTTGGGATGCCGCAGCCCCAGTCCCAGTGCCCGGTAGTGAGTGCTGTTCAGCTTTCGATCCATCTCCCTATTAATGAGCATCCTAGGAGGCAGCGGATGATGGTCCAAGTGCCTGAGTCCCTTGCACCCATGTAGGAGCCCCGCATAGCCTTCCAGGCTACTGGCTTGGCCTGGATGTTGCGGCTATTTGGGGAGTGAATCCGCGGATGGAAGATTTCATTGTGTGTGTCTTTCCTTCTCTGTGACTCTGCCTTTCCAATAAAGAAATCTTAAAAAAAAAAAAAAAAAAAAAAAAAAAAAAAAAAAAGATGCTAGCGACCGTGGGGTTAACGTCAGGGGCGGGGAAATGGACCCACCGGTGGGGCGGGCCCGCAGCTGGTTGGCATCAGCCACCGGGGTCGCTCGAAAGCTGGAAAGCTTGGAGAGCTCGGCAGAGTGGCGCAGTGCGCTGGCCGGCCAGCAACAGCTCCATTCCAGATCCCACCGGGCGCCTGCCGCTGCTCCTCAGCCTCAGGCATGCGCTGCTCCTCAGCTGCTCCTCAGCCTCAGGCCTGTGTCTCAAGGGCCACACCCCGAGGCTTGGCTCAGATCTACAGACCCGGCCTCCAAGCCCCAGCCGGAGGGCTCCGGAGGACAGAGAGGCTGTCCACAATTCCTGCGAATGCTCAACTCGAGAAGTCTCTAGGAACGTCCCTTCTCCCAGCCCACACCACTCCTAGGAAATGTCCGTCTGCCTGCAAACTTCTGGAGAATGACCAGGGTGCAGCAGGCTGCAGGGGCTGTGGTGTCAGCAGTTGAACTTTAGAGGGAAGGGCGTGGGGGTACAGGGACAGTAATCCAGAGCTGATATGAGCTGGTGCAGAGGCAGGCTCAACGGTGGCCGGAGCTGAATCTGGATGGCAGAGACTTCCTAGAGGTAAAAAGGGGGCTCCGGGGGGACAAGGAGGCAGGCAATCTGGTAGGAGGCCGGGAAACAAAGCAAGCTTTGGGATCCCGCAGGCCTTGTCTCTGCGTGGTCCACAGGCAGGTCCCTGGCCTGCCTCATGCGTTCTTCCTCTGCAGCGTTTGCTGCCTCTCCTCCCCACTGTGTTCTTGGCCTGCGCCCTGGCCCTGCCGGTGGGCGGCGGCCCCCTGCAAACCCAGGCAGTCGTGGTGCCCTGCTGGGGGCTCAGGCTTTCTGCCTCAGGTCAGCTGCTATCACAGTAAGCACTCTCCAGCCCCCTGTCCTTGTCCCCTGCCACCTGCCTCCATCTATGGAAGCCTGGCGCCTTCAGCCCTCACCAGCTGCACACAATGACTCCCTTGATACGCTGGAGTTAGACCTGGCTGCTGGCCAGCATAGGGTTTAGGCTTCACACTCCCTTCTGGGGACAATGACGCTGCCCACTCCTTCCTGCTTTGACAGGCATGTCACATATGGGGCAGCAGCCCCCTTTGCTTCCTTCAAAAACTCCTGACTTCGGCCTCCCTCTGTTACTGTCCCAGATGGAAAAGTGTCTGGCGATCCCACTGAGAGGCCCACGGAACAGGGACCTTGGCTGGGTGTTCTCCCAGCACCCATAGCCAGGCTCACAGAAATGAGAAACATTTCTCAGCCAGACAGTGGAACACACTCTTCTGTCACTTTCAGGTGCTTCCCTCTCTGTCCCATGAAGCAGCCCTTGCTCTCCTCCACATCAGCTCCTTCTCTTCAACTACCTTTTCCTCTCTCTGGCTTCACTCAGTTCCAGTGTCCCTGAAGGCCTGCTAAATCCTGCAGGGACGCTCAGGCCTCCAACTCTGTCCATGTGGGGCCTAGCCCCTCTGTTTTTTACTCCTTCCTCCTCTCTGTCCCCATTCCCCAAGTAGAACCACAGTGCAACTCTTTGAACTTTTCTTTAAACCACCACTCTTCAGCCTTGCCATGGCCACCGTCCAACTCTAGCTCTCCCCTCGCCACTGTAGAATCAGGACAGGCCACTGAGGCCTGTACCAGACACCAAAGCACAGAGGGATAGTGAGACCTCCCCTCCAGAAAGCCTTCTTTCTGTCACCGACAAGAGCTGGCCTGAGTGGCCTGGTTCACTTAGCTCACCCTCTGAGTTCCAAATGTACAGGGTTCTCCACCCTCTCTTTTGACAATACGTTGAGGACCATGGCCATAGAGCTGAGCCCTTTTTCATACAGAAGCTCAGAGGGATTCAGAGGGGAGTGGGACACAGACAAAGCATGCGTGTCCCAAACAGATGGGGTGGGGACCACAGGAACAGTCAGAAGGAATGACAAGGAGGAAGAAGGGAGTTGCTTTTTTAAAGCTTTTTATTTCAAAAAATAAAGCCGCAATTAATTTCACATAAATATCTGGGGAGGGAAGGGGAGAGGGATGGGGCAGGGGCTTGGCCCCTACCTCCTC